CACTGAGCTAAATCCCAGCCCTGGATCTTGCTTCTTGACCCTTTATGCCAGTCTCTTTCCTTTGATTGGTGAATTAAGACCATTAATGTTGATGGTTATAACTGTTATGTATTGACTTATCCTTGTCATGACCTTTTGTTTTTGTTGGATTCTCCCCCTTTGCATTTAATTTCTTGTCTTGCTTCATGCATTCATTCTGAGGGGCTTCATGGGGTTGTGACCCTCACTGTCTTTTCATAGAATATTGTTTAAATTTTTTGGAGTGCTGGTTTGGTATTCATGAAGCTTGAGAGACATTTTATATACATTGGGCTTATGCTCTTAAAGGGTGTTAGGGTCATGGAAGTCAAGGGAAGACTTGAAGAATTATTCCATAATGAGGTTTACTAAAGAGACACAACAACTATGATTTTGGATTCTGAAGTGAATTCTCAGTGTGACATAATGAATATCTTTGGGACTTATTAGTTATGGCCTATATGAAACAATGTATTTTTTATATAAAAAAATGAACAAAAGAGTGTCTCTGTCTTAAACTTTAGTTCACTCTAGGATGCCCCCCATCTTTATTTTGAGCACACTGAGTTACAAAAATGGTTGGTCAATTTAGATTCTGAGAACACAGCTAATGGCCAAAGATAACTTATCAACAGCCAAAGACTTTCTGGGACCCATACCCTTACTCTCCCCTCCATTAGCAACCCTGCCCAGAAATCTTTTGTGCTGTTTAGACTAGCCAACCAGGATAGATTATGAACCTTCAACCCAATTGGTAAAAAGATCAGCTGCTTCTTATGCATCAGGTATGAAATAAGCCTGCTAAGGCTTCCCTGAACACCTGCTACCTCATGCTTGTGCCCTTCTGAAGAAGTAAACATAAAAGGCTTGTTGAGACCCCTTGCCTCATATCTGAGTGCATTCTTTCTGACATTGACAATTTGAGTCTGGGGGGTTATTTCCATTATGTACTAACAGGATAAGGTTTAGAACGTCTGAATATATCAATACTATTTCCTGATCTTAATGGTTTGGCTATAGTTATATCAGAAAATTATTTTATTTGTAAGAAATACATAATAAAATATTTCAAGTCTTTGAAAGAAAGTCAACAATTTAATTTCACATTAAAACAATTATCTGGCCGGAGATTTAGCTCAGTGGTTCCAGGGCCTGCCTCGCAAGCTCAAGGACCTGAGTTCAACCCCCGGTACCAACCCCGCCTGCCCCAAAGCAATTATCTGTACATCATAAAATTTTCTGTGATTGTTTAAAAATGATACCAGTTTTGGAGTTATACGTACAAGATAACCAGCCTTTTACAAAGAAGAGTTATTATTTCCAGTAGGCATCTAAAAATGTGCTTCACATCATTAAATTTTATGGAAATCCAGATTAAAACTTGAATGAGAAATTATATAATCTATCCCAATGGTTAAAATGAAAATAGGATTACATTATGTGTTTTATTAATTTGTAGTAACAGGCATTCTCAATATAATTGTAAACTGACTAAGCCATTTGAACAATTCTCTGGCAAAATTTACTTAAAATGAATGTGTGCATATTCTTCAGTTCCACTAGTACATTTATATGGAACACAAACACAATACAGTGGGATACCGAAAAGACACGACTAGGAATGTACATATTTGCACTATACAAAATAGCCCCATACAGGAAGCAACCATATCAAGGAACCATAACCATATCAAGTGATGAAGACCACCCTGAGCAAGCTGCAAATTTATAAATTGACTTTTCATGTTAACAGTCTGAGTCTGCCTATTAGCCCACAATGGCTTGCCTGAAGAGCCAGAAGTTGGTGTGTGGGAAAGGAACCACTCCCCACACCACTGGTTGCAGTAGAGGTCTCAATGATCTGTGATGCTGTGACATCTTGGCTGGCAAGACAATAGTGCAGCTAAGGGCAGCATGACTTGTACAGAAAACTTCTGTGGAGGCAGAAATTAATGTATAGGAAAAAATAAATTTCCCATGAATCAGTGATCTGTTCCTACTAGAATGTCTTGTTCCCTTGTTGCTAGGACCCTGCTCAAGTCAGTGCTCTCCACTCCACTGTTCTCTGCACCACCCCTTACCCCTTCAAGAAGCTGTGTGTTCCATAAATAGTGGCAAGCTCCAGGAGACAGTGTCTTAGCCTGATAAGAGCTTTGACCATTCTGGGCCCCCCATTTATGCATTAAGATCTTGTCTTGTCTTTTTTTTGGTACTGGGGATCGAACTCGGGTCCTTCTGCTTGCACAACAGGCAGAGAAACCATTGAGCTAAATCCCTGGCCCATCTTGTTTTAATATCCTGCCGTCATACCCTTGGTCAGGTGATTGGAGATCTGATCAGATGCCAATAATCAAGGAAAAAATAGATACAAGTGAAACACAATTTTTTTTTTATCACTATAGAGAAATAATTGAGGGCCGGGGATTTAGCTCAGTGGTTCCAGTGCAAGGTCCTGAGTTTGATCCCCAGTACCAAAAAAAAAAGAAATAACTGAGCCTGGCTTAGTGACACATGCCTACAATTCTAGGTACTTGGGAAGTAGAAATAGGAGAATCTTGAGTTCTAGGCCAGCCTAGGCAGCATAATAGGGAGACTCCATCTTAAAAACAGAAATATCTGACACAGGCTAGTTTTGGAGGAAAGAAATTGTTTAAATTCACAGTTCTGGAGGTTCCAAGTTCAAACTATATAGTGCAGGTTTGGTGGCTGAGGGCTGCCCAAAGGAATAAAATGGTTGCTCTTAAGAGAGTGATTGTGGTTCTGTAAGAATTTAGAGGCATATGAGTCAGGCAGCAAATTATTGCTTCTCTTTGCCCTGGATAAAGTTCATCAAGACTGGCATTCACTTAAGTAATAAATGTTATATGCCAAGCTTTTCTGACACTCATTTTAGTCAACATGTGCTGTAATTATTAACTAAGTCCATGGTTATTTTGCATGTCACTGAGGTGGAATCAAAGTACATAGTGAATGTTGGTGAACCCAGGTGAACTGAATGTCTTTCTTAGAGGGAAGGGTGCAAGATGGTTCCAGCCTCAGCTCTATAACTCATAGTCTGTGTGTCCTTGGCTGAGGAACTGAATCTTTAAGGCCCAGCTTCCTCAACATTAACATGGGAATAGTTTACTTTTAAAGAATCAAAAGGGACAGAATAGGTGTGAGAGTTCTTTGTAAGTTGTCAGAGTCTTCCTAAACATTACCAGTAAAACATTGTTTAACTCATGCTTTTACAGGCTTAATTTTTCTTACTAAAAGAGCCTAGAAATTACATTAGTCTCATTCAAACCCCAGGTCTCTAGCTATGAGCTGAGCCATCCAGACAGGTCTCCCGTTCTCCCAGTCTCTCTTTCTCTATTTGATAATTTAAAAAATACTAATTCCTGCCTTCTGGTGCTTTTTAGGGACTTGGTAGCAAAAAGTGTGCATATTTACTTAGCTAATTACTTAATACATGCTTGGTCATTTAAGTTGTAGGAGTTATGTTAGCTGTTTCATGTTCATGCAGTTGTAATGTTAGTACAATACATTAAAATATTTCAGAAGGCTTTTGTTTTCAGTGAACACATCTCAGTGTTTGAGAAGGATTACTGGATAAACAATATCATATATGCAAGGAATAAGGTACATGGGTTGCCATTAATGTTATAAATTCTCAACTGGTCATCAGTCTAACAAGATTGACAAGACCGAACAATTTTTGATAAAAAATTTCCTCATTGATTCTAGATTCTGGCTGTACATTGGCAACACCTGAAGTGTTTAGAGGAACCAAACAGTACCCTAGCCCCACCCTAGAATAGTTACACCAGGATCTCCAGCGTGGGGCAGTGGAATGGACAACAACAGCCAATAACATCTTATTTTTATGTTTTTCAGTGGGTCAGAGTCCACTCAGAAGAGAGATTAAAAGTTTGCTTAACTGATTGGCTACTTATGTGTCAAAGAGTCACAAGTAAGTTATCAGTGAACATTATAAAAGCTTTGGATTTCAAGCTCATTGTTGTCTCATTAAGAGAAGAAAGGCTTCAATGGATCCAGTTGTGGTCCTGGTGCTTGGTCTCTCCTGTCTGCTTCTCTTTTCACTCTGGAGACAGAGCTCTGGGAGAAGGAAGCTTCCTCCTGGCCCCACTCCTCTTCCAATTATTGGAAATATCCTGCAGATAGACATTACGGACATCAGCAAGTCCTTCACCAATGTAAGTATGCTTCATGCTCCTGTAGTGGCTGCACAGGGAAATTAAATCCAACTTTTTAGTAAAATAAATTTTTGGAAGCAAAATATTAAATCATGTTATCATAAAGCAAATACTTCCTGTGGGTTATTATTATTGGTGTGTCACAACAAATAGTGGAATGATATAATGCATTTTGTCAGTATGGAAATATTTAAGTTGTAAGGTAGAATCAAATTAATAAACTGCTGCTACCCTTTTTAGTTTCATTCATTTGCTATTACTTTTTGCCTAAGGTGAATGGTAATAAAAGTGGTTTGAGATGAGGTTTTATTCCAGAAGCCATCTACTTTATGTGCTGTATATTTTTTTGTTTAGCCATGATAGTTAAAGTTCTCCAAAGATGCAAATTATGTCTGATGTGAAGGAACTGTGGGTTTGCAATACATATATGTGAAAGAAAGAAGAAGGAAAGAAAAAATGAGGGTCATTTAAGTGATATAAGAATGCTTTTAGGCTCTTCACAGAGCTCTTGTCTGTGACCTATAAATGTACAGCATGGAGCATACTTCTTTTGCTGCTATTTGCTGTGATTTTCTTTCCTATTTCTAGTTTTCAAAAGCGTATGGCCCTGTGTTCACTCTGTATTTTGGCATGAAGCCTACTGTGGTGGTGCATGGATATGAAGCCGTGAAGGAAGCCCTGGATGATCTTGGAGAGGAATTTTCAGGAAGAGGCAGTTTTCCAATTGTTGAAAAAACTAATAGTGGCCAAGGTAAGTGTGCATGTGGATACATATGCATGTGTATTTGTTGGGCATTGGTCATGGGGATGAGAATAGAAGAGCTACTAAGGCAGATCTTGGCTTTCTTGGTGGCTGCCTCACCTCACTTTCTTCTTTCTTGCCTTGGATCTGCCTTCTAGTTTCTGTTTTCCATTCTGATAGGAATCATTTTCAGCAATGGAACAAAATGGAAGGAGATTCGGCGTTTCACGCTGATGACTCTGAGGAATTTTGGGATGGGGAAGAGGAGCATTGAGGACCGCATTCAAGAAGAAGCATGCTGCCTTGTGGAAGAATTAAGAAAAACAAATGGTGGGTGCCTCTTTATATCACTGACCTTCACAGACTGCTCTCTTCTCTAATGATGTCCTTCTAAACCTTGCAGGGTGGCCAGATATTTTATTCTGGGTGGAAGTGGTCAGGCCTTATGTGGAGGGGGCTGATATAAAGCAAGAGCCATAGGAACTTTTGTGTATCTGTCCTTGTTCTGTTTTTACATAATGACAGTTCATATAGTATGGGTAAAACTCTAATTTAATTCTGCTACTTCTTGCTTATGTGTTTTCAAATCAGTACATTATGAAGATAGGAGATTTCAAGCCTCATTTAAAACAACTGTTAAAGAGTAACTTATTTTTCTATAGTGATATTAGCTAGAACATTTTACCAGGGAATACTTGTCAAGTGGACTTGGTTGAATGATGTCATCACATCTTTCGGAGCAGGAAAAAAATGACATGTGCTGTCACTTAATTGCCCATATCTTTTTTTTTCTTTTTCTTTTTAATTCTTTTACTGGTACATTTTAGGTATGCACTATGTTTACATTTATCATTGGGTGCTTGTACCTGTACATGATGTATCTTAGCTCTAACTGTTTCTCCCATTACCTGTGCACCCTTCACCCCCTCCACCCTTCCCTATTTACATAGATTTCATTCCCATTTTGTTTTCTTTTCTCATAATTTTTCCTTTCCCTTCTTCCCTTTCCCCTCTGCTCCCACTACCCCTACACCTTTGGACCTTTTCCTATTTCAAATTATCAATTGTTCATTTTAATCATTTTAATCCTTATTTACACTTTCAGTTTCTCACACTAGGGAAACAATTTGGTATTTACACATGTGTGTCCTATTTATTTCA